ATGTGAGCAAATTCAAGAACTCCTGCCCTAACTGATTGCTGAGTGCTGAAGTGAAGCTCATTACTACAATCACCAGGGCCTGTAGTAAGGCTCGCACTTCCTCCATGTTCTCAGGCTTGTAGCACTTTGGGTACCGATGCTCTATCACAGTATCAGGACTACCCTGATTTCTTGGTAGTAACTGCCCTGTCTTACAGTTCACCAGTTGTGGGATCACACAGACCCATCCTGAATAGCCTCCAAGATTCACAAGCTTCTGTCTAAGGTGGAAGGCAGTATCCTTGGCATATTCCCACAGATCAGAGCTTCCATTTTTCACCATGAAGAAAATTTTAGGGTAATCCTTTTTACAGATCAGGAGGGCTTCACAAATGACCTCATTGTTTTTTGGTCTGTCAATATCAACTGCCCAGCTGTTGGAGAGAATCAGGACTCCTTGTCCGTCTTCTGGTATAAAGTCTTGAAGATTTGGATACTTTTCCCATTGCTGTTTTTTAAGGTCATCGGGTATAATTGTTACTTTTCCTTCATAAACTGTAAAAACAACAACAGCAAATCCACAGTTTTTTTTTTTTTTTTTAAATATAACCTCTTCACAATCAGTAAAAACAGTGATCAAATGTCTGTTGGACTTACCAGGGAACAATTTCTGCTGCAAAGAACTTAGGTGGTCATCTCTGATCCCATAGACTGGCTTGCATTTTGGAGGAGCAGCATTCTGACTGAGCACTTTCTCAAACTGAGTACACAAATCATCAGCAGCTACATTCAGGAGAACAGTTAGGGTCAGGGATAAGATTTGTGTTTATAGAATCATTTTCCTCATTGTAACCAAAGCAAAAACAAAGACCTGTACCTGGATCAGTCACCTGCATCTTTTCCATCCAGACTGCAGCCTGTATCTGGCACACCTCTGTGCCCTCAAGGTGCCATGAATCCGGATGTTTTTCAAAAACAGTGCAGCAAAACTTTGGAATGTGTATGGCCACAACATATAGAGGGTCACTGGCATTTCCCCCAAGAACGTCGAGTATGCGGACTTCCACAGAGCAGTCATTCTCCTGAGTGCAGCCTGAGCAGTGAACTGAAATGACCCTGAGACACATGTCTTTGACTTCTGTCTTTATGGAATTCTTGTTAAGACCTCTGCCACATCCAACAACCTTTTTTGTTCCGTCATCAACACCAATGAAGAGGTAGCCCCCATCAGTGTTGGCAAAGGCACTTATGTACTTTGGAATGATTTCTTTAAGTCTTTTAAAAAGGTTTTTTTCATTACTAAAACTCTTCAGCTCCACATTCACACTCTCCCCAAATGGTAACTTTTCTCCAAGCTGAACTTCCTGACTTTCAAACAGCTGCTGACCATTAGGTTTATCTTCAGACGAAGAGCGGCGTCTCTTTGCCACAGGCTCATCACCTTGTCCTTTTGCCAAATTTCTCTTCTGATTGTTTAAAAAACCTACTACTCCATTATTTTCAACATTTAAAGCTGATGTTCCAGATCTTATTCGGAGACCCGTGTCAATACTACAAAGACGTACCAGACCCCCAGTGGAGCTCCATGTTTTCACGAAAATGAAGAAGTCCATCCCTATTTGCAAAAACTCAAAGTAATCTTTTATAGTTGATGAATTAACCAGCTGTTGCAAATCCTTTTCTAGGTCCTGGCCTAAACCATCTGAGTCATACTCGTAGTTGTCATTCTTGACCGCTGCACGGACTATACCCCCACCAGAGTTGAGCAGGGCAACCACAGCCATTAAAATTCTCTGTTTCTGCTTCTGCTTTTCGGTCTTTTGTTGCATGATGTCTCTGGCATTCTCACCCAAGGTTACTTCTCCCACAAACAGAACCTGATCCTGGAGCTCACTGCATTCCAGTGAAAGAATGTCAGGTTTTGATAAAGCCATCAGCCTGAATATTCTGTGATAACAATAAAGAGATTTAAGTTAAGTGCAAAGCTGGCAGCATATGGACAGTGTGCTGTTTGCCCCGCCCCCTACCTGTTCAGTCATCTTAAATCACTCCCCTTATTTTATTTAAGCCTTTTGACTGTATATGGTTTCCTTCGATTATAATCATTTATAACATCACCAGCCATCAGAATTACGAAATCACAATTAATTATTCTACTTTATTTTAAATCATGGATAAGCAGTATGACAACTGGACTGCATGTAATATTTTGACGAATTATCCATAAGAGTTCCAACACATTTTTTTCGCGAAAATTATAGGCAAGTTTTCCGTAAGTCGACAAAATGATAATGCGAATATAGGGTGCTTCCATGGTCCGTGTACGAGTATAATTCATTTTTTAAGATGGAAAATACAACAATGAAAAAACAGGTCGTTTTCACCAATTTGACTAGACGAATCATAACGGGAAAATTGGGGAAATGGCTTGTTTAGCGTTTACAGGTGTCTGCCTGAGTAAGTCAGAAAACGCCTCGTATCCGTTTGACTGGAGGTGGGTTGGGTTACAGGTGCGCCATCTGTT